AAAAAAAAAAAAACAATGTTTGTGTTCTGAAATATGAGTTTGTTTGAACAAATTTCTCTAAAAGCACTTATACATAAAAAAAATAGAAAGAAAATTGAAATAAACTTCTTCATAATCTAAAACTAGCTTATGCATAAGTTAAATTTAAGATATTGAAAAAGCTAATAAGAGAGAACTTTTATAAATTAACTTATGCATAAGTTAATTTTAACTTACAAAGAAATTTTTTTCATTTTTCTTTCCTATTTTTCTCTGCTATAAGTGTTTTTGAAGAAATTTACCCAAACAAACCTTATATAATGCACAATATTTTCCTTCTGATGTTATAATTCATGATTGCCTTCTGGCATAAACTGCTTAATTCTTGTTAAGTTGTTGGTTACAGTAGCTGTAGTGTGACTTCTGCTAGAATACTTTGAATTGCATATTTTGGTTCAAAATTCCTGTAGTCAGACAGACCTATATCCTTCCGTGAATAAAATGAAAAATACTTTGAATTGCTGCTATGTGACTTCTGCTAAACATAAATTTGTTAATTCGATAATGTTTTGTTCGATTTGACAGAGAATCAGCAATGTAGCCTTGAGGGAGAAACTGAGTGATGTAGAATCCCTTTCAGAAGAGCTTATTGACAAGACTCTATCTACATTTCTACAACAAGTTGAGGATGGAACTTGGACTACAGGTGGGTGGCCTCAAGTATATAGTGACTACTCAGTGTCCAAACTTGCAGTTAATGCTTATACAAGGCTTATGGCAAGGAAGCTTTCTGAGAGACCAGAGGATCAGAAGATTTATATTAACTGCTATTGTCCAGGTTGGGTGAAGACAGCTCTTACAGGTTATGCAGGGAATAATACTGTTGAGGAAGGGGCTGATACTGGAGTCTGGCTTGCCCTTCTCTCTGACCAAACATTCATAGGAAAGTTTTTTGCTGAGAGAAGGGAAATTAACTTTTAAGCTTATGCCTGTAGGGAGCACAACAATTTAATTCCTACCAACTTTTGAAAATTTTCAAACTAAAGTATGGAAATTTGTCTGTTGGCACTGGTTTGCAAGCAGGTTTAGGTCTTCTTCTGTACCATGTAATTTTCATTGATAAGCTAATTCTTTTGGATATTTTATGCTGAATTAGAAGGCGCACACACATTATAACCATCTATGTATAGTTGTATGATTCAGATTTTTAGTTCTTTGTATCTAACAGTAAACAAGAGCTCTTATTGGCAAGCGTACACACATACCTTAACTATTTATGTATAGTTGTATGATTCATATTTATAGTAGTTATATCTAAAAGTAAACAAGAGCTCTTAGTAGATAAATTTATATATATGAGGAAGAATTTGTTTGTTCTAGGAGTAAGTCTTTATAGAATTATTACGTTCAATAACTCATGTTCTACATCAAATTTTAATGATCAAAATTTTCATTGATAAGCTAATTCTTTTGGATATTTTATGCTGAATTAGAAGGCGCACACACATTATAACCATCTATGTATAGTTGTATGATTCAGATTTGTAGTTCTTTGTATCTAACAGTAAACAAGAGCTCTTATTGGCAAGCGTACACACATACCTTAACTATTTATGTATAATTGTATGATTCATATTTATAGTAGTTATATCTAAAAGTAAACAAGAGCTCTTAGTAGATAAATTTATATATATGAGGAAGAATTTGTTTGTTCTAGGAGTAAGTCTTTATAGAATTATTACGTTCAATAATTCATGTTCTACATCAAATTTTAATGATCAAATCGTTGAATTTAAAGTTCTTAATGTATAGATCAAGTCTATAAATTTTATAAAAATTTGTAGACTATTTAATATTTTATTTTATTAATTTAAATCAACGTATAAAATAATTTTATAATTATTGATCAATTTTAATTAATGAAACGAAATATCAAATAATTTTTAAATTCTTTAAAAATTTGCATATTTGATCTATGCATTAAGAACTTTAAATTTAACAGTTGAATCATTAAAATTTAATACAGAATATGAATTATTGGATCGTTAAAATTTTATTACCTTTTTCTTTTTTTCTTTTCTATCCTAAAGAATTTTATTTCTTTGTATCCGTTGGTTGAAAATAGGGACCGAATGAAATGGTATTGAATTAAATATAAAAAAGGTTAAAATAATCATTTAGAATAAGTAACACTTAAGTATCTACAATCTATTGATTTAAGTGACATTAGATTCGATCCTTTTAAAAAAGTTCTTACATACAAGTCTTGTAGATAAAATATATATATATATATATATATATTCCCATTTTAGAATTAGAATGACTTGATTTTATTTTTTTTAATTGTGTACACATACTATTACAGACTTGATCTATACATTAAGAACTTTAAATTCAACGATTTGATCATTAAAATTTGATGTAGAACATGAATTATTGAACGTAATAATTCTATAAAGACTTACTCCTAGAACAAACAAATTCTTCCTCATATATATAAATTTATCTACTAAGAGCTCTTGTTTACTTTTAGATATAACTACTATAAATATGAATCATACAACTATACATAAATTATTTTTCCTTATTTCCTTATTTTAGAAGATTAGATTGTTACAAATAGGTATAAGGAAAATGTAATAAGTATGAACAATAATAATAAAATTATTCTCCTTTTTCAAGTCAAACAAAATATTTTAAGAATGATAGAAATTGAAATCAAAGTAATTCAAATACCAATAATTTAAAATTCCTTAAATTTATAAAATTTCTCATCCAAACACACTATAGGAGTATCACAAATCTTATTAATTTGATGTTGTGTCTACCCATAAAGGTGGCCATGAAATATGAATGCATGTTCCCACTGGCCATCAATTCCATGTTATCTTCCTCTTCTATGTGGCCACTCTAACATCACCATTTGCAGAGTTTGGATTTAATGTAAACAGTAAGAAGCTGATGTAGCATAGATTTGGCAAAGACATAATTAATGAGCATGTTTGGAAACACATTCCAGAACATGTAAACATACATTCCACTCTATCATTCTATTACATAAATCCTTTGACACACGTATCTTGGTTGAGATATTTAAGTATTAAATACAAGTCTTCAGTAAAATGATTCCATTGAAGAGTTCAGGGGTAGATCTACTAAATAAGCTTAATTGAAACCACCAGCCCCTAAAGTATTACCTTAGTGTGACCTTTGAAAACATGAACATCAAGTTTTGCATCTTCCCTATTGACGATCTCAAAGATACAAACATGTCCACGTTGCAGTTCATTTTCTCTTGAAAATAAGGGCCAACCAGCAGAGAGCACGCCAGTACCCCAAGATTCATTAAATACAAACGTCACAGGCCACAATTTCTTTCTAAATTTTATCATCATCACCTTCTGGTTCATGTTTACAAAATACTTTGTGACAAACTCCTTTGGCACTTGCTGCATCAAGTTGTGAATATATATGTTCATCACCCTCAGAACTAAACCAAAGAATTCATGAAAGAAAAATAATACTTGGAGGCTAGCATAATGTAAAAAATTCCACGTCTACTAACATACTACATAGGTACTAAACCTTACCGGGCATCTGGTTGTATTTCCTTGCATTTTTAAAGTGACCATGAAAAAGGGATTTTCTGATGTGAATTTCCTAGCTTCTCTAAGAGCTGTGGATTTTAAGATCTCTGACTTGAAGTGGTTTTCCAGCTGCAAAGTTCTTTGACTTGAACTCCCAACTCTGCAGCCTGGACGGACCAAGAAATCTATTAAAGGGGGGAGGGGGGCAATTTTTTTCTTCTTATTTTGTAATTATTTAAACTTTGAAAGACTTTCTAGTCTCATAGGCACAACAACAACAATCAAACATGATAATAGTCCCCATCTAATAACAATAATAGTCTCACAATCAAGAAGAGAAACAAACTTATCATAATAATAATTGAAGTCATCAAATCCTAATACAATGATATATACATTATATATGAAAACGGGTCAAGTTACTCACATCCACATCTCACTCTTCATTTTCTTCAATCTAATGAATCTTACGATTAACTCATCTTTAAGCATTAGATCCAGAGAAAATGGAAAGTGAGGACAAAGAATAACTCTTTTAAAGTTACTCTTGAAGTAACTTGATATCTTTCTCTATTTAAGTAGCCTTGGGAAGGGGAGGAGGTAGGCTCCTCCCTGCCCTCCCATTAATCTGTCCCTACTCTCCAGTTAGTTGAAGGATGCACTATGTTGCATTTTGAAAGATCTATATATTTGCATTCTCACTGAATTCAATTTTAGCTTGTCATAGAGAGTAATAAAAGCTTAAGATACAAATTACACACGATGGATAAAAAGAGGTCTAACATGTACCTATTACTGATAAAAATCTAGAAATAGATTTACATTCAACATCAAGCAGTCTCAGTTGAAAAATTAACCAAGAATTGACTCATCTAAAGTAGAGAGCTACAACCAATGATTGAAAAAATAATGGTTAAGATTGAAGTGTTGATTTTTCAATTAATAGCTATACTCTTAACTTTATTCTCAAAAATGAATCCTTAGTGAAGAGTAGAGTCTATATAACTACATCTTAATCTCCTTGAACTGATTCTAAATCCTCATTCTGTACATAAATGGAATAATGCATTACCTTGTGAAATGGGTCTACTTGGTTCCTCTGCACCTCGAAAGATGGAAACTTTGAAAGCAAGGCTTTGAATCTTCTGGATCATCTCAAAAACACAGACATCCCCCACATTCAAATTATTTTCTGATGCAAAATTCTGCCACCCGCCAGTAATTCTAGGAGCAGAACAAATAACAGGCCAACTTCCCTCATCCAAGATCTCAAGGAGGACAACTGCATGTGTTTTCTTCAAATATTTTTCTGAAAATATTGCCGGTATTTCCTGAGAGTTTTTTTTACAATGTAAAATCATAAGCACTGAGAATTATATTTCTGCTGCAACATCCTTATAAAAAAATTTAAAAAGAAAAGCTAACTCATGACAGTGCGTATATCTAATCAAATGCTCACCAGGTAATCTACATCAATAAAAGATGGCTTTATGACAAGCAAGAAAGAGGGATGCTTAGATTTGAAAGCTCTGGCTTTGTCTAAAGCCGTAGGAGTTAACTGCTCCACTTTTGGGCATTTATTGTTGAAAATTCCTTTACCTTCCTCATCTTCTGAAAAATTGAAAATGACACGAGTATGTTATGAAAAATTGGTCTCCAGAAGTTAATTGGATCCACATATGCATACATACCATCTAACTTTTGCTGCATAAATTTTACATCTTGAAAGCTAGTACTTCTACTTTTGACATGCTGATGCAAGTTTACCCCATTGGGGCTTCTTTCAACGTCTGGAGTTATGCTATTTTTCATTTTCTTATCAGGTTGAGAAGATGACGCTGTGGATTTCACTCTAGTCTTTCGGCGTGAACATTGCTCTTCATCCGAAATTTCAACAGAATCATCACTAATCTGCACAACGATGTCCTTTCCATCATGACATTGCTCATCCAAAATTTTAACAGAATCACCACTAATCTGTACATCATTGTCCTTTCCATCACGAGTACCATGAGAAAGATAGTCTATTTCAAGGGCACTGTTGTCAAATATGTGGACATCAAAATGAGAAGTTTCCTCATATTCAAAGAACAACAAGTGGCCATGATCTAGAGAATAGTGTGCGGCAAACTCCTTCCAACCATCTTGAAACCAAATCTCACCATCATGCTCGGTCAAATATATTTTCCATTCAGTGCCGTCTGGTGGCTTGAAAAACACAGGGTTTGGCATTCCATCTCCATATTTTCTAGTGAAATTGTTTGGGAGTTTCTGCAAAGATTATGTTTTTAGCATGGATAATGAAATCACAAGCATAACAGAGAAACAAAAATCTCAAATAGCTATCTTATCAATTCAAATGATGGAAATCCCATGTTAGTTAACATGACCAAAATAATATATATTAGTGGAGGATAACCCTCACCTCATGATCTGCCTTTTAAGGTTGACTTAAACTAAAATTCTAAATGATATCTTAGTCTGTCCCAGTGAAGAACAAGTTATTGGTCTATGTAGTACTAGACTCACCTCCTATAAGTAAGGTCTCTTGGTGTTCGAATTTTGTGGATAAAAAAAATGTTGTTGAGAGGAGAGAGATTCCACTAAAAATAATATGGGTAAATGAAGTAGATATTTTTTGGTCCATGAACATGGTCTACTACTTCAAGTATTGTCATAAAGTTATAATCAAAGATTAACATGTGCTTGTGTGCTTGTGGGACATTACTTTCTTTGATCAAATATTATTTTAACATGAAAATCGATGTTAGAAACACCAAATCTACCTCTTATCAATAAAGTAGATACCAGCACCAGAATTCATGATTATAAAAAATAATAACTTATCTTAGAGAGTAACTATTGTTAGGTCTATCTGGTCACTTGTTATTGGGACATTATGTGTGAGGGGTTGTATGAGAGACCCCATAATGAATGAGAGGTGACATATGATAAAAAATACAAAACAATATAAATGGAATGGAGAAGTTTGCGAATATTCAGGATGGATCATGCATGCATAGATATACATAAGTGTAGTTTCAAATTTGTTTTTTAACTATTATAATATTTGTAATAATCAGCTATGGATGGTAAAGTTAACTTATTTAATGGTGCTAAACATGAATATCAAATTCACTCAAACAAGAAGTATAAAGTAATGATGCTTACAAGTTTTCCATCTGTAAGACTTCTTGTGAGGATAATCTTGAAGAAATGGATTGCAGTGGACAAGGAAAGCTTATTGCCAGGGGAAGCCATGTCATGGATGTTGAGACAGATCTTAGAGTCAAAAGGGAATTTCTGACTCAACCATTGCAACAAAGAAACAAAGCTAGATGCTTAAGGTGAAGAAACGTTTCTCTGTAACATAACGGAGCAGAATCACAATTAAATGCATAGTCAGAGTCGTAACATCGTTTGAAGAAAAAGGTTAGCTCATTGGACAACTAAGAAGGCTGTTTAAACAGTTTTTTATTTTATATTTTTATATTTTGTTTTTACACAAATGCTTAAAATCTACTCCAAAATTAATTTTGTTGATAAAATTAAAATTTTAATTATCAAATTAAACTAATAAGGTTCGAATTTTCACCAAGTTAGTTTTTAAAAATGCTATTGTTATTTTTTGACAGTAAAAATACTATTATTATTAAATTGGATTTTTAAACGAAAACATATTAATCACTTTTACTCGTTATAAGAATAAAAATAGTGATATGTTTAGTTTTTTAATAGATTAATTTCATGTTAAAATATTTTGTAAAAGTCTTTTCAAATCTTCAAAGAATTAGTTTAGTGATCAAAATTATTAAATTTATACAAATTATTCAAGTACAATGAAAAATAAATAAATAATATAAAAAGAAATTCATTCATGTAATATATATTCTACTTTCTTTAAATAGTATTTTGACTTCATTTTTCTTATATTTTATCGTTAAAAATTAAAATAATAAAAAAATTTAAATATAAAATTTTATGTATATTATTTTAACTTTTACCACAAAAGTGATTCTAATTACCTACTTTAAACAAGTTTAGTACTTAAAAAATACTATAAAAAAAACACAATTTTATTACATTAAATAATTTTTATAGATCAAATAAAATCATCTCATAAAAAAAATAGGTATCAATACATTTTAAGTCTTTACAAATATAACTAGTTTATGTTAGTTCTTATAAAAAAAAATTAGTCATTTTACATCCTTCACATTTTTTTAATGTTCTTTTCTTTTATTGTTTATTTTAGTTCTTATAATTTTCTTTTGTCATTTTAAATCCTTCACTTTTTTTTAATGTTCTTTTCCTTTATTGTTGACTATAATTAATTTACTGTTGACATACTATTTTAAATTAAAGATAAAGTTAAAAATATAGTTAAGATAATTAAATTTAAAAAATATTTTAAATTATGATAAATATATTATTTTTAAGTGAATAATTTAATTAAGTGATATATGTATTTCTTTATATATATATATATATATAAGATAATTGCAGATAATATACTTTATAATTTTTAAATTTTAATATATTATAAAAATGATTTTTATTTTTTTTATATTATTCTTACTTTTCAATTCATTAATTCAGTTTTAACTTTGTTCATTTTTCATAATCTTATTATTTACTTAAATTCTTTAAATATACTTTTAATACACTATTTTTAATGTTAGTTTTACATTTCAATACATTAATTTTCATTTATTATAATATAATTTATTTTTTTAATATATCAAACAGTAATTTTGTCTCTAAAGGCAAATAGAATATATCAATAATATATATTACAACTTTAAAAGTATATTAGTAAAATGAAAAGTTAGAAAAATATATCAAAAATTATAAAATTGTGGTTCATAGTATGTGAAAAATCAAAAAAAAATTATATATATCCACACACATAAAGATGAGAATAGGCCAAATTTTAAATAGGGATTTATGGTCTAACTTCTTTAAAGTCTGACCTGACCTAATTTATTTAATAAAAAGGTCAAATTTATGTTTTTAAAAAAATCTATTTATATAAAAAAGGTTAAGCTTAGTCTTATAAAAAAAGTCTATTAGACCTGATAGATCAGTCTATTTATTTATATAATATTATAATATATATATATATATATATACATGTTATTAAAAATATAAATAA